TCTGCAACGCATCCTTCCAATTTCTCAGGCCAGAGTAGTCATAGCCGCGTTTCAACGTTCTAGGGGACACCTTTAGCAGCGAGGGATTTGTTCCTTTGGAGTTGAAGGGATGTCCAATAGTGAAACTGCTAAGCCTGAACAACTACATACGACTAGACACGAAAACATGAAGATGGACTATTACACGTCGTCAACAACCAGAACTTCCAATAAGTCGAGCTGTCAGTGCAAGTTTGAGCTGAGACGGATTCTGACACGATAGGAGGGTCGGAGGTAGCCGCCGTAGCCACCGAGTAGTGCGTAGAATGAAGCTGTTGTGTCGAAGCTGCTTCTGAAATTACCCATCGCGTGGCCAAAAATCTGGAAGCCTCGACGACCGCTAAAAGCGAAAACTAGATCAGAAACAATTCTGTTCTTATAGCAACCTTTTTGTGAGAGTTTGCACGCTAGATGTTTTTTTCTGGAACGCGAACGTTTTGGTTGTTGAGCGATGGTTTTTACTCGGAAAATTTTCTGGCCAGAGAAAACGATGAAAGGTTGCGTGCCATCACTCAAGTGGGTCTGCGACTTTCTGCATTCTTTGGTCCTGCAGTGTCTGATGAAATCGGGATTGAAGTGAAATTTCTGCATACGATAGGAATGGCAGTGAAGCTTCTGCATGATATTCTCCCAACGCGACAACTCCGATAAGCCGTGCCCGTTGACTTCCTTTTGATGGGTCACCCAGGATTCCGACCGACTGGCAGACGGACCATTTTAATAGTCCTGTCTTTAGAAACATTGATCTTTCTGCCTTTTCTGGTTTGTAACTGATTCAGTCTTCTTTTCTGTATCGTTTAATAGCCTTCTATGTGGTTATTATAAAAATCCCAAGCAATTTCATAATGCTCTTCCACCTCTCGCGTGCCAATAATTGCAAGTGGCATTGAATGAGCCTCCTCCATCTGAAAGATATTGGGGGTTCCACATTTCCACATCTGTCACCACGCATATTGCAAGGAAGCCTTCGTATGCAACTAACAGGTAATGTGAATTTGGTAGGTTATTTTTACCTTGGAAATTTTTAAATTTTGGCGCACATAATTTTATGACACCCTGTATTTCTAACCAGCCAGGCCGCTCGGCTAACGCCGGGCTTCCCTCCCTCTTATGGTAGGGTTGTAATGATCGGCAAATCGACACCTCCTCACTTGGGGACCAAATGCTATTTTTAGGAACACGAAATTCGACAGAAGACTAATAGTGCATGCAAGATGTATTTGAAGGAGCCGGTGCTTATGCCTATGATTAGAAGTTTCAATCTGTTGCAGTTCATCTTGATGCGGTCGAGTCGCAAAGTTTCCGCCGGGCTTCCCTCCTCCTTATGATAGAGTTGTAATAATCGGCAAACAGCACGCTCCTCCTACGACACAAACGATACTTTTCGGGACACGAAATTCGATAGAGGAGCAAGAGGGCATGCGAACTATGTTGAAAATATGCTGATGCCTACGCCTTTGATTAAAAGTCTCGTTCTGTCGCTGTTCATTTTAAAAATAATAACCCATTGAAGGTTCAACTAGTAGGCAACGTAAGCCAGGAATGGTACTTACAAATGTTCACGATCCATACCATTATCAAATGCCTTTATCAATAAACTTCTTTTCACACGGATATATCATTGAATGGGAATCCAAGATTATTAGCGGTCGGATAAGTTCTGCCAAGAAAGATATCGAAGTGAAGAGAAACCCTGATCCTTCATTGAATCGCGAACTTTGCTGGGTAGCGGTCGTAAGCAAGAAGTGAACCAAATTTCATATCCCTGCAATCGGTCCCTATCACTGCCCTTAACCTTCTTGTCGGATGGAACATATCAAATATGTAGTCAGAGCTAGTTTGTAAATAACGGGCGTTGGATTCAATTGGTGAGTGGATCTTGTTTTCTAAGACCCTTACATCGTCAGCGTTCCCATCCTGCCTCCTCTACTCCTGTAGGGAACCCAGCCCCTTGTGGGCGGGTTCTGGTCCTGCCACCCACCATAAGTGTTTCAATCGTGCCGCCTGTGCTTCTACAAGGTTTGAACTCCCTAGGGCCAAATCGGCAATTTTTGTGCAAATCCCTCCCCCGTGGGCGGGGTCCGGTCATGCCATTTGTGATTAGTGCTCCCACCCTTCCCCCAGTACTCCTACCTAATATGAACGTTCTAGGTCCACGGGGATAGGTGGTATGCATTTCTGTTCAAACCCATCCGCTGTGGGCGAGTTCCGGTCCTGTCACCTATAATAAGTGTTCCCATCCTGACTCCAGTACTTTGACCAAGTTTGAACGTTCTAGGCCGACGGGGACAGGAGCTATGTCTTTCCGGTCGAACACACACACAAACACACACACGCACACACACATACACACACACACACATACACAAACACATACATTAGCGCGTTATATATAGTAGTTGTATATACATTGTAGGACATTAGATTAATTTAGAAGATAATAGAAATGAATTTAAAATGACTTTCCTGTGGGCGAAGCATTTTCTTGCCAAGCTAATAAAAGTGATGGATGCTCATCGCAATCCCTGCAACTTAACAGAGGAAGGAGGGACTATTCAACCAATAGGGAAGGTGAACCTTCTATTTACAGATGGAATGAACCGACGAGGACTAGGGCCGCTCCGAAACTCCACTTATCTTGCTTCGGATACCAATTTCCTGCGAGCCGCCGAAATAATGACAACCTACGCTTATCCGGAGACGTCATTCAACGACAAGGAGATCCAGGTGGGAATTGAACTTGTGTGGCCGAACCGGATTCTACTTTGAGGTTCTGCTGATCCTATTCCCAATGATTTCAAAGGCTGATGACCAGAATCGAAGACTGAGTGCAGACACTCGGTTCTTCCAGTAATCCGGCTATGGGTCCCGGCTCAAACAAATGCTCGTAGGTGACAATCCCCTAGATACCTGACCATCTGCCTCGACTCCCTACCCATAGTCCCTTTTAGGTATGTGACGGGTGAGAATCTGTATATCCAAATAGGGCTATGACGTGAAAGGAAATATGTTGCCTATGAATTTGTGCGTTCATTCGTCATTTTTTCATTTTTGTATTTCATCGTGAAGTCACTGTGGGCACTGTGGGAGCCTAGTGTCCGTAATGGATCTTCATTGCTGTGGCTGTTGATAGGTATTCCGATCTGAATAGTGCTCAAGCGCTGGGTAGGTCCAGTTTGGCGCTAGTGCCGAAAAGTGCGAGGGTTGCGTCGACACTCGAATATCATACTAGTTTCTGATTTCACGTAATTTTAGTACTTCCGCTCTACCTCCTGATGGGACTGCTCGGCTAGAAAACTATGAAATCACAAAAAAGCTAGCGCGGAAATTGCTCGAATCTGCTAGCACGTCTCCTTAGGGCACCACTTTAAGGCCAAGAACCTGAACATGTTTCGTACTAAAGAAAATTAGCACATCTTCCTTGACCAGTTCTATGCCTTCAAACATCTATGACAATCCTTATGAAACCTACATTAGTCACTGATTGTCATCGAGATGTTGTATGAGACAGATTTCGGCGCATACCGTGTTCCTATTATTGAATCCATCAAAGACACTTCACGATACAAATTGTTCAAGAGATTTTTGCCCAGAACGAACATTTGATCTCCAAGGATAGCACAAGAGACTCTGTAGGGTCGAAAAACGGCCTAGTTAGGGATAGCAAAGGCCTTAAAAAACACACACACACACACCACACACACACCACACACACACNACACATACATACATACATACATACATACATACATACATACATACATACATACATACATACATACATACATACATACATACATACATACATACGTACATACATACATACATACACACACATATACACACGCTCCCACACACACACCCACACACACACACACACACACTGGAGTATAACTTCAGTTGTTCGTCCAAAACTGGATGCCCTAAAATTGTCGTGGACTGTGCTTTTGAGAATTTGCATTGAGGATCATCTTTAAAAGACTAATATTTCGTGACTAGCAATTGACTAATTTATTGCAGTGCGATTTGATCACCGAAGATGGTGGGCATGAAATCGATCCGACGCGGCTAAGCTACAAGTACGCATTAAATTTCTTTGAAAGCGCCGAAGTTTTCTTTGAATTTTTGCCCAGTTAAGTTGCAGAAGGTTCCTTCTGTAGAGAAGACGTGAACTCTAACTAATAATCAAACAATCGGATACGTCTTGTTAGTTAACAGCAATTCTAAGTTGTACCTGTTATCAGGAACTTTGCATCTATAATCTTTCACTACCTTCCGTCCTTGACTTCAATCAGTGATCAAGAGCATCTTTTGCTACTAGGGTACGACTGAATGGCCCAAAGCTCTCATCTTGCACATAAAACCTGATCTATCAGCTCAACAACTCGCCTCTCTAAACTGGGGTACGGCGTCAGGCTTTTCTGGGGGTAAAAAACGCTTATTGAACCTGAATAGACGCTATATCTGAGAAAAAAAGCACTCAACGTCGCCTAAGTTTCAAACAGCAGCCAAGCACATGGCTTATCACGAAGCGCTTCGTTCCGCGCGGCCGTCGAAACCAGTGCGGCGCGTCAGCCCGCGATTCTTGACAGATGTTGCAGTTGTCGGTTGGGCATATGGTCTGCGCTTGGTTCACGGCAGTCAGCTTGAAGAGAAGATGACACACACATGAGCAAATCGTTCGCTCCACTGTCATTGAGTGGTACTGTACTGTAACCTCCAGATCGCAGTGGGCTGCGCGGCGCGCGAAATGGGCCGAGTGAACTGGTTTTCGAGTAAAGCGCGGAATGGACGTTCCCCAACACAAAGCGCACGGTCTAGTCTATTTTGATGGATCGAGCCTTGACGGATTGGATTTATTCAGAAGTAGTCTCAAAGTTAATAATCTAATTCGGTTCAGAGAACGAATAGCTTGGCACCTAAAAGAATTCTGTTATAAGACATCGAGCCACGGAATTCCAATGTTGGGACAAGCGCCGAATATGGCGTACAGGTACATAGTTTTACTAATGTGTATCGACTGTACTAATATCAAAGTGGGATGGGGCACATGTGTTTTTTAGAGTTGTGTGGATTATGCTGCTATCCGGATGTGCCTTCACCTTTGTATACCAAGCGATCGCCGTAGTCGATAAGTATTACCGAATGGATAAAATTACTGACATCCAGCTGAAATTCGATACTGGTATTTTGGTTTTTCTCGTGAACAATGCTTCGCCTCATTAAATGCTGCTAGTCGTTGTGAGCTACAGAGATGCTCCAGGCACGGCTGCATCACAATCATGATGTAGATGAAGCGATGTTAGCTGCACACTGCCCCCTCCACCTGCAAACTTGCAAATGAAGAGGGGCCAGCGATTGTGCAGCTAAACACAGTTCAAAACGCCGCATTGCCCAACGCATCGCTTCACATCTTATTGTGTAGTGGCCCAACCTAGCATCATCTAAAGAAGTAAGGGTGTGAGAAGTGAATTGGAATGCGTTCTAGCATGGGCGTAAAATTTCTCGCAAACATTGATTTCAGCACCGTTTCCTGCAATAACCCTATGCAATCTCAATCCGTATAAAGACAGCAGAATACGAGACGAGGAAAGCGTTCGAAAAATTGTAAGTAGTAATGTCAGTCAGATATGATGGCTATGAGAAATCTACCAGTGGCTGCTTTCAGAGTCCACCGGCCGGAAGCGGCGCTATCCACTTGTTCACAAACGGAATGTTAGCCGATACCGCAGGCCAAATGACTAATTTCTCCAAAAGCGGTCGCTGAAAGGCCTTCAATGCCGAGAAAATAGTCATTCGGCCTGCAGTATCGATCAACATGCAGTTCATAAACAAGTAGCAAGCGCTGCCCGCAGCCAGCACGCGCGCGCTGGAGGGGCCCGCCAGCGGACTCTGAACGCAGCCATAGGAGAGACGTCTAGAATTCAATCATTATACAATACGCTCGCATCTGTCTGAACATACATACATACATACATACATACATACATACATACATACATACATACATACATACATACATACAATAATATATATATATATATGTAAAGCCACACAGATACACAGGTAGAATACTTCACATAAGGCAAGAACTTTCACTGCGTCCTCAAGGCTACTTTTACCGCTCTATGAAAAGCCGGGAAGTCAGACAGGCAATTCTCGATACTCATTTTTCTATTTGGTTCTAATTTCCGGTCCTTATGCAGCCCATTCCGAACCCATTTCTCACCCTTCCAGACCACACCAATGTCATGTACGATCTTCTGATTCAGTTATGTTACCTGCGAACTTATTACCTCTTCTTCTAATCGATATTGGCGAAGACACCATATAATCTCATCTAATCTCCAAAATTCACCTATTTTTATTGATAGGAATTCTATATTCTAGATTATTCTTGGAGATTGACAATTGTTCATTGAGCTTAAACATGTCTTCATTCAGCTGGAAGTCTTCGAAAAAATAATGAGAAAAGCGGCGAACACCGATCAATCATTGGAAGATTTGGAGAAAGCCGTCGAAAAGGCTAAAACTCTATTGCCTCCAGACTACAGTGAAAGAAAAATTAGGGATACAGGGGGCAAAGGAACATTTGAGCCGGTCAGATCGTTGAGAGTATGTCCAGGACTTATAATACTTGGTAAACGCAACCAATATACTTTCAGGCCAATTCAGTTTGCGTATGCGAAGACGACAACTGCGAGGCCGATGCTCCAAAGGTAGGCACAACTTATCTATACTGCTTATGGTTTGCTTGAATGTGCAGTTCACAATAATTCTGAGGTACCCTTTTTATTTTTAAGTCGAAAAGCGGGTGTTGGTGGAGAATAGAGCATCGGTAGCGAACAAAGCAAGATAATTCGTCGACTTAGCGGAAAACAAAGCTTTCTAAAGTAGTAAAGATAAAAGTTGCACGAGATTACTGTGGCGGAAATGGCATGGAAGAGGTATTCGGACGAGCTTCAGTGGTGCAGTTGTATAAACAGCTCCCCACATTGAGCCAAAAATGTTCAAGACTGCCTTCCTTTGTCAGTGAGTCAGTAGTTGCTTGGTTCCCTGGCCTGCGTGCTCAAACAGCAATTGCTCGGCGAAATTCGTGGCGATTTGAACGATTATGGCGTTTACCAGTAGGGCGCGGGTTTGAAGTGGAGCAATCTTTATATTTTACTATGTAGTTTTGTAACAGGAAAGAAAAGTTAAGTAAAAGAGATAGGGAAGGGATGTTAGGAAAGCTTCTAGTGATATAGCATCTCATGATCATATTGATCTTCTTCACTTCAAACCTGTATTTCAATGTTAAACGTCAGGGTTGTCCAAATCGTCGCGATTTTGCCGTGCACCTCCGAACGGGCGAATATTCCGTCCCCCGGCTGTCCCTTGTGAGTGGTGCACCCTCCGCAGCGTCGTGAAACTCGCCCGCCTTTCGGTGCGGCATACAGTCAATACAATATTCGAACCCTAAAAAACATAAAAAACCGAGAGGGGAGTCCGAAATCCCTTCATTATTTTCTAGCCCATAAAGCAAGAGCAGCTTTCCCATGCAAACTAAGTAGTCGGTTAAAGACATCTCTTCAGGTTTTTGCATTAATCATTCAGCCATATACACGGGAAGAAATTCTGTCAGACACAGAACTTCTTTATTTTGAGGTCTAAAACTAGTCAATTATTATAAATAGAACTACGAGGGTTGCCTTTTATATTTCGGGATTTGGAAACACTAGTGCAGCAATCTAGCAACTGACACCACTATCGTAAAGTTTGACTATTTTGAGGTTCCGTTGCAAAATTTGGGCGCGATTTGTTTTGTTTACACTAAGTTATAAGATTTTGTTTCGGCCAAGTTATGGAGTTGAACCGTGGGCATTTTCGCGCGACAACTTTCGACATGGACTAACTCAACAGCAATGTATGGATGAACTCGGTTCAGTTTTTGGGGATGAAGCTCTATCCAGGATCAGTGTTTATCGATGGTACAGCGAGTTCACCCGGGGTCGTAGTTCACTCGAAGACGAATTTCGTGGAGGTCGTCCAAAATCAGTTGTCGTTCCGGAAACGGTTCATGCTGTGCACAAGCTAATACTGCAAGATCGTCATGCGACCTATCGTGAGATTGAGGCAATCTAAGCATTAGTGGGACTAGCTTGCATTCATTTTTGCATGTACATTTGACGGTAAAAAAATTTGTTGGCGTTGGATCCCACGCCACGACAATGCGAGCTCCCACACATCGGCTCAAACAACTGCATTTTCGAGCACTCAAAACAACCATTTGACAGGTCATCAGCCATGTAGCCCCCGGGTGACTTCTTCTCATCCCGTACGTAAAAAATAAAATGAGAGGTCAACGTTTTTCGACATCTGAAGAAGCCGTTAATGCGTTCAGAATCCATGTTTTAGAGTTACTCACATCAGTGTGGCTAAGTGCTTCGAAAATTGGTTCGAGCCTATGCAAAAGTGTATAGATCTTAATGTGGAGAATTTTGAAAGGCATTAAAGCGATTTTCAATAAATAGTATCCGTTCCTGTTTTCAAATCCCGAAATATAAAAGGCAGCCTACGTATCACCTCAGTGTGTATGGTTTGTTGGGGGGACTACGTTAGAGTTGGACTTTGTTTCTACGTGCGTCCGAGGACGCGCGCGGCAACTTGCGTGACGAAGTTCGTGGCGATTTGTAAGACTCTGACGCCAATTTTCGGGGTACAAACTCGAAGTGGAGTAGTTTAGTAGGGTCAGATAATCCCTCAAACCACTCTACTTCAAATTTGGGCCCCAATGATAGGCGCTGAAGTGGTTCAAATCATTACGGACTTCGCCGCGCAATTTGCCGCGTGCATCCCCGGACGCACGTAATGCCACATACCCGGTTTGTTGACACTGTAACAGGTGCGTGACCACATCAGAGCTCTTCACGCACGCACCAGTAGATTCAGCAGCACCACCAGCAAATCTCTTTACTATGGCAATGAAGGTCTGAGTTCTCTCACTGAAGGATCCCCAGCCAGTCAGTGACGAGTCTACGTAGGGCGTCCCCGGGCGGCGGATAGGGGAATTGATTGCCGGTCAGAAGTCACCGGTACTTGCTCAGAGACGCAGGTGGATTCGAGGGGTGGACTGCCTGATTCTGCTGTGCTGGTCGATATACCTGTTTCTTGCAGGTGTATCCAGGCATACGTGTGTGGAGTCTCTGTGGGTGCAATTGGTATCCTGTCCATTGACTCAGCCAAAATCTTAAATCTGAGTAACTGGGAAGCATCTGGGAGGCGATTCGGGGCCGCCTCCAAGAACAAGAACGAAGCCGCTCATCGAAGCTTCGGGATAGCCTGTTTAGACCCCGAAGTAAACCGAGCCCCACGTCAGAGCCTGGAAGCAGCACGTGGGTATCCGCTCGCCAAAACAGTGATACAATGAACCTCATTGCCCTGAACCTGAGGAAGCCCCCAATATGGCAGCGTTGGGGAGGACTGCTAGGGAGAGTCTGCTAAAATTTCAGGGTCAAAACAGGCTGGCCAAAGGAGGACTGAGATGGCGATCTGTACTTTCAACGCACGGACGCTTGCATCGGAAGTGTGTTTTGAAGACCTGATGATGCAAGCTGGGAAGATCAATTACGACGTCATCGGCTTGACCGAGACGAGAAGGCATCGCGCGCTGCACGCTGTATTTGAGACTGGAGAAGAAATGTTCCCTAGAACATGCGACAGCAGAGGCGTCGGTAACACAGGTGTCCTCGTCAATATGCACTTGGCCATGAAAATCGACTCGTACGAAGGCTCAACAATCCGAATCGGACGTTGACATTGAGAAGCGCTCATTGGCTTAACTCCAGCTCTAACCATCTTCGTTGCCTACGCACCAATATCGAGCTACTAAAAAGAGTTGGAAGCGTTCTATATGGATCTGGAGGGGCTCTAAAGAGATTACCACACCTTTCTCAAGGTCGTCTCGGTGAATTTAACGCGAAGATGGTCCCTCCCCGAAGAACGGCTGAAGGCTTCACAACGGGACTCTCGGAATGTAATGGAATGAGGGGGGGGGGGTGAAAGGCTGTCCGAATTTGTCATGTCGACCGACACCACCCATAGTAACTCGCGGTTTCAGAAGCCCTCTCATTTGAAGGAGCCAATGAAATAGACCACATCATCTTTAATCGGAGATTTTCCCTTACTGACGTGGATGTTGTTCCGAATCTAGATGGGATCGGACCATCGTCTCCTTCGCGCCAGGTTCTGTTTCTCAGTGCGGGGGAGAGAGCTATGATGTTGAGGAAACGAAGTCCCAAAACCTCCATCAACTGGGACCACTTCGCTTCCCTTGCGAGTGAATGGGAAGATTCCGTCGATGAAGAATACAACCGGCTCGTCGAACATCTTCATGATAGCGCTAGGGAAGCAGAGAGTCTACAAGTAGCCAAGTGAGGACTCTTTTTGAAAACTCTCGAGCTGATACGCTAGCGTGGAATCGCGCGAGCTACAGGCAATCATCAACATACGTTCGAACTTGCGAAGCTATGCAGAGAAGCGATAAAGGAAGATCTGAAAGAGAGAGGAGCAGCAGTTATGGACGAAGCCGCCGATGCCGGAAAGAACATTCGCAAAGACCGACCGAGCTTCGCCAATTACAAGGCCAAGATGACTTCCCTTCGTCGTCCTGACGAAACAGTTACTGCATCTCGAAGGGCAATGGGAAAGGTGTTCTACGACTTCCACTCTCACCTCTTCGACAGCCGGTCCACCTGCCTATCCACCTTTTCAGGCGCGTCGGATATGTCGCAAGCCCGTTCGTTCGCCAATTCGCGTCGGCCAAAAATTGTGCGGAGCCTGGTCTTGATAGGATCAAACCAGAAAATCTAAAGAGTCTTCTACCAATATCGTCAGAGCTCTGGCTAGGCTCCTCACGCGGTAACTATCGGAAGGCAAAGTGCCCACGTCGTGGAAAACTAGCAAGACTAATTTGGTGTATAAGATGGGAGTTCCAAACGATATTGGCAATTATCGCCCAATCTACCCGCTGTCTGTAATCTACAGGCTTTTTACGTGCGTCATCTTAAACAGAATTGTCAGAATATTAGATGAAGGTTAGCCATGCGTGCAAACAGTGTTTCGGAGAAGTTTCATTACAACCGATCATGTCCACATTCTTACAAGACTTAATGAAGTATCATGAGAGTACAGAATGCCGTTATTTCTTACGTTCATTGATTTGAAGAAAGTCTTTGACACAGTCGAGACAGAAGCCGTAATTGAAGCCCTGGGCAATCAGGGTGTTCCTACTCAGTGTATAGGGAAGCTTCGTGAGCTCTACGACAACTCCACCACCAGGATTTCACCACTCCACAAAGAAGCCACATCAACATGAAGAGAGGAGTGCGGCAGGGCAATACCATTTCACCCAACTTTTCAGTGCTGCTCTCGAGAATGCCACGCGCCATTCGGAAGGGAAGACTTGGAAGTGAAAGTCGACGACCGCTACCTACATCATGTCCGCTTTGCAGACGAAATCGTGCTCATAACACCGAACATCGAGCAGGCGCAACGGATGCTGGCTGAGATTGACAATGCTTGTGGAAAGATCGGTTTGAGACTGAACTTAATGAAGACGATGTTAATGAAAATCGGTTCTTACCTTATGCTCCCTTCATGCTAAACGAAACGAATATTTCCGAATGCTCTAGCCACGTGTATCTAGGTCGGGAAGTCAACATGATGAACGACCTAGCTCCGGAGCTGTGCAGAAGGAAACGCGCCGCGTAGGGAGCATTCAAGAATATGGAGGGAATTGTGAACAAGACAAAGAACATCCGGCTCCGCGCTAACCTTTTCGACACTGCTTTACTTCCTGCTTTGACGTACGCCTCGGAGACTTGGACTGTACGAAAGCAGGATGAGCATGCTGTCAGCGTTACTCAACGCGCTTTGGAAAGGACTATGCTCGGAATTTCCTTCGGAACATCAAAACGAACTCCAGGGCGGCCGCCAACAAGATGGTCAGACTTTTCTCGAAAGCTCTGAACGAAAGGAATGTCGATCCTAATGTCCCTGAAGCGTGGATTCATTGGACCACTCGGGCTCGTGACAGGGACGAATGGAGACGTTACTGGCGCTCGCTCGAAGAAATCGGCGATCAACGGGACGACAAGTGATACAGGTGACAGGTGATGGTAATGAGGCCCCTTCGAGATTAAGGATTCACTCCATAGGTCGACAATTTACTTGTCAAACGTTCAAAAAAAGAGTAACTTCAAAATGTTTCGATCCCAAGAACGCAGTCCTACCGTAAACGTGCGTAGTTGATCATTTTTTACTTGTCTTCTATAAGTTTCTATTTCTTCCATTATGATGGTAAGCATGATGTTATAGCGCGTCTCGTCCACGCCGCCGTAGGCTCGGCCGTCCACACGAGATAACCTCATTATATAGACGCGTGAATCGCACCACACCCACATTGTAACATTGTAATATTTCCTAGTAGTCATTACATTTGAGACAATTGTTCATTTTTACTCTGGCAGTGAGGAAGCGTACGTTTGTGCTGTTCGTTAACGAAGACCCGATTTCTTTTTTCAGACACCCACTGAAACGGACACTATGTGCATTTGCGCATTCGACCGACTCACACAGGACGCGTGGCCTTGTCATCCCAAGGTATTGTTGACCGAGTGGTTTCATTCGGGAGAGTCTTTAATGAAAGTGTCACCACGGGATTATCTCTAAAAGTTGTGGGTAATTATTGCCTTCCATGATGAATCAATGATCTGATGAACACTTACTATTGATCGTATTAGATTCCTCATTATTGAATCGTGTAAATGGAGAGCACCGCGTCCTCGGTCTATTAATGTCCTTATACCCTTTTGTCTGTTTATGCTCCAACCTGAAGGGGTTACTCCTCCCGATTATTATAGCAGTTCATTCAGGCTGTATGGCAGAACACAACATGCGATTTTTGCGACGACCATATGTTTTGTCAGAAGCATTCAAAAACTAAAGAACGTCGGAACTTGCCGTGCCTTTGTGGAGATGGCGGAGCGTTCTGCATGAAGTATGATCGGGTGCGTAAGCGTAAGACTACGATCGGGCTTGATAAATGTGAATACCATTATTCCAGATGGCGAAGTTACTAGATCTGTGGAATTTCTTCAGTGACGTGGGGCAAGCAACCGAGATCTCTGACGAGGAAATAGAAGCGCTAGGATTTGGAGTGAGCTTCTCATATTTTGATAATTTAAAAATGGAGTGATGAAAAAACCTGAAAATTTCATTAAGAACATGACCGATGAAGTAGCCATCGTCACTAAAGCTAAAGAGAACATCATCTTCGCAATGAGTGCTCTTAGCGAACAACAACGGTATGTGGATTCCAACTGCTCTCTTTGCAGAACCTCGGCATTTTTGCTATTGTACTGTGATTCTTCTGCCGACGGTTGTTAGGTGGAACTTCATTAGTGGCCTGACGTTTTGACGCTACTGTTTTTTTTTTTTGAAGGTCTAAACGTAGCCCAATGTTAAAGGCACAGTTCACGATAATTGACGAACGTCATTGGCCTTCCCGCCTCTCGATCGATGTCACGTCAGACGGTTAGACGAGTGTCGAGAAAATACAGATTGCAACTACTCGTTCTAGGACCCACACACAATCAGCTGATAAGGGAGTGATGAGGCCACGTTTTTCTCCCATTCTTTTTTCCTCTGTTGTTCTTTTTGCTGCTGCGATCCCTTATCTAATTTCCTACTCCTTGAGGCTGAGAAAGGCGAGCAACTTTCGCTGTTACTAGGGTTTTTGTGTTTACTTATGTTTATAAGTGAATGAATTTTTGCTTACCATAGTCTGCTATTAGCACCAGGACCCACAGGTACGCAGTGAGACACATCGTATAACTCGTCCGAACGCCCCACTCTTCTTCATTTTTCTGGTCTCATAGTCGTCCTGCGCCCTTTTTAACGGTTTTTCGAAGCCCTTTCTCACATTGGAAACACCGACTCAAGCAATTTCTCCACCTTCATCGCATCGCACTATTTTCGATCTTGTCGTCCACTTTTCGTCATAATCTGGATTACCCAAAATTATCGTGAACTGTGTCTTTAAGAGATGTCCTCCAATCGCCAAACTCCTCCTCTACCTAGCCTGATGGAAACAGAGAAACACAAACGAGGGAAATACACTCACGCAGCCCACCACCGCGCCACTCCGAGTCAGTTATGATTAGTAACCGAGATTTTAAGGTCTCCTCCACCACAACAAGAGTGGTTTACTAACAATAACTGACTCGGTGTGGTGCTGTTCCGCTTTTGCCGTGGTGAACTGAGTGAGTATATTTTCCTCATTTGTGCTTCTCCGTTTGTTCTCCCTAACGTCCACCAGAAACGCTAGGGAGAGGAGGCGTTTGGCGGTTTAGAGGACATCTCCTACACCTTGGGCCATGTTTAATATTCGCGTCGTCAGGCCAGTAATCAAACTAACAACACTAACACTAACATCTTCGTCGGCAGAAAAATCACAATACAATAATGGTACTAATGGTAATAATGGTAATATATGACTTAGAAAGGGTGCCCGTGATGAACTATGTAATTAATTAGCAATGGAGATGGTCAGCAAGAATGAAGTCAAATGGATAAGTGAAATATATGCGTAGGGGTCCTCGTACTGGAAGCTTTTGCTTGCTGATAAAATTTTGGAGGCACAATTCACTAGAAATTGGTATCTAATATTCCTCCCTGGAATGAACCTGTGAACCCGAAGGATGGCAAAAGGATGCTGTCGTGTCGAATCGAAAATTTACTTACCATTAGATAGGGCTAATGAAGCCCTGATTGCGGCTTCGCCGGCGTACACAGGGGAACCGGTCGTTTGGCGCGATGAGCGGGGTCGCGCCGCCCATTTGAAGCGGCGCGACTCCGCCCATCGCCCCTTCAACTCATNATGAGTTGAAGGGGCGATGGGCGGAGTCGCGCCGCCTCAAATGAGCGGCGCGACCCCGCCCATCGCGCCAAACGACATACACCCGTACACAGTCAAAGACGAACGAGTACTGTAGAGTTTCCCCATTCGCACCGGGACGCATGCGGTGTACGCAGGATGCTTACTACAGTCAGCTGTGCGCAACGGTTAGAAATTAGATACCCCAAAAATCGTCGTGAACTGCGCCTATAATGTGGGTTTTACAGGTCCCCATCTTTGAAAACCGTTGTATTTTTTTTTTCTTCGGAAACATATCCCAGTGAGTTGCAACTCTCATTTGACGAAATCTTTTGATGCAGTTCTGTTGTTCATTTGGCGTTTGGCTTTTAAACAAGCTATCGCACTTTTCGCCATTTCATCCGAACTGTATTGTTACAAGCTGACCATTATCGCCTTCGTTGCATTCTTACTACCACACATAGTTTATCTCGTACCGCGTTTATCAGCCGACAAACTAGCTGCCGAGCATAGGGTTCGGAACAGAAAAAGAGTTAACACGCGATCGTTTTAGGAGAGAAATGTCGCAGGCGAAACACAATCTCATCCACAAGTGCTCATTCAATGGCAAACCGTGTGATATTGACAGGTATCTTAGAGCATAACTACTTGAATGAATAAGTGAACAGTTGACGTTAGATTGACTAGATTGTGTGTTACGACAAGGTATCGCAGCGTCAAAATAAGTTAAGGGAAATCACAAGAAGGGGTAGTGTTTGTTTTCGATGGTGATGAGAGAGCATAAAAAGAGGATATGTTGCTCTGCGAATGACCTGGAAAATGCTTTACCCAGAGGAACTTTGCAAACACATTTAGCTGATGTTTGTGCTGCAAAGAGCTGAAGGAACATGTCCACTGCACGGCAAAAGGCAGCCGACACAGCAAGAAAACGTTTTTATAGTTGAGCATCCTTCATACAACCTAATGGATTTCGAGCAGCCTAGCCCGACCTTACGCCTTATGAAAAGGTGCATTCATAGTGTGACACCGACGTTTACTAAAGTCCGAAATTAGTATGGTCCCATAGGTTTACGCATTAATACAGACATGCATTCACAGCATGTTTCTTATTTTTCAAAGCAAGGTTTTCAAAAAAGATAACTCTTCATTCCTGTTCTAATCAAGCAATAACATTTCTATGCCAACGTCTTCCATCTTTTTACACGTCGTTGTTGCCGGCGCCGGCAGCCTTCAGAAGATCGACGTGCGATTCCATCGTCAAGGAAATGAAGTCACGACGCACAATGTGGGCGAAGTCAAATCTTGAAGTCACACTTACAAACAAATGAGAGACATTCATCTTGATCGCAGTGGCGGGTGAATTGAAAAATGAAATCCGCACAGAAAATTAGCGCAGCTTGGCTTTGTCACAGAAACAAAAAATGCAGTACGGATTTTTGGCTCTTACAGCAACTTCACGGTGAAATAAATGCGATGAATGCAAAATTTCAAATGCAGCATATTTCGTTTCACGGTTACGTGACTACTTAAACTTCCTCTGCGTCCCTGACACCGAATGGTTAGGACGCAGAGAAAATTACCCAGGGTGAAAGACCGGTGTAAGTAGTGGGGGTCCCATTGGTCAGACGAACACAGCAGTTAAAGACTGGAGTAAAGTGATGTCCGACAGACGGGGGCACAAAAATAGCTGCGGTCGCCACAATGAAAGGGACCGAGTTCAAGTAATTCCTAGGCCTTTCACCCACGAGCACTCGCTCAGGTGTGATTCGAGCTGCGCGCGGCAATCTGTGCGGCAAAATTCATAGCGATTCTGACGACTTCAGCGCCTATTATTGAGGCCCAAATTTGTGTTCAAATTCGAAGCTGCGCCCGCAAATTGCCGCGCGCAGCTTGAATCGCACGAACGTACCGTCCCTCCACTAGCTCGAGCCAGGAACCGTAGCCGGATTACTGTAGGAGCCGAGTGGCAGATTTACTTTTCGTTTCTGTCTTCGTCGCTTCGCCATGCGAATCGATTGAAGCGTCCTTTTTTAACTCAGAGACTTCGCTATTATCTCGGATCCAACTTTTGGTAACTGTTTCACCTTCAATCACAACCGCTCTGATATTAAAAGCAGTCTTCGAGCGGGTCCGATGCACGGTAAGTAAGTTTGCTAAAACGAGTCGTCTAAAATCCATTTCTTCTATTTCAAGGCTTACGTGTTATGCTATTCGTTAATGCTTCCGATTATCTACCAACTTCTGAAGCGGTCGGTGTCCGTCTCACTATCCATGACAAAAACGAGTTTCCTTTTCCAGTGAGCGATTACAATTTCATTCAAAGTGAAGACGAGTTTTTTTTTTGTAAAGCACAAAAAAAAACAAGCTTTTTGGCAGTAAATAATTTGACAAAAATTAATTGGTTACCAACAACGCAGGACACATTTGGCTACAGCGCACCGACCGGCTACATCTCATCTTTTGGGATGCGAATGGTGATTTTTTTTGCTACGTGAAATGTCGAGGCATGTTCATGCCAGATATATCTAATTACAGAAGAAAATGTCTCGCCTCCCGGCACCCTACGGGGACTGTATTGCGGATGGGGGCACATCAAATTACATATACACAGGCTATGCGTACTCCACAGAGGTGGGAAACCAATTTTACTATGCGCAGTATATTGGATGCAAGTTCAGGGATGTTATCGTACCTGCTTTCAACAGCTGACTATCGACCGTTGCGGTTGCGGAGATCCCCGTTTCCCGTCTATCGGCGACCATAAACTCTGTGAAGTATTTAATAAAGAGCATAGTAAGTTATTTAGATGGTCATTCGAAAGTGTTTTACTGAGATTTTTATCATCTCTGCTACAGAACATGCAATTCGTCGTTCCTGTATTCAATTATTGTAAAGTGTACCGTTTTCAGGAGCGTGTCTTGAACAGAGTACGCATGAACTTGGTGATATTCATGGATCATTCAAATGCAGGTACCAAGACATAGCTTTATAGTAATTTTCCTCATTATTTTGAACCGCAGACGTCACTCATTAGCTTTCTGTTATATTATTGCCAAATCCACTCAGCTCTTACCTCTTTCATGTCTCACACGACCAACTTCCTTCATCTCCTGCTGTGGCTGCTTTCATAGGCTGCTTTCATAGTCCGCCGGC